ACCCTAGAATATTCTTGGAAAAGGAAAGAGTAAAGAAATTATAATTGAACACATCATGGTTAAGGTGGTCCATTGGTTGAAATCTTTGGAAACTTTCTCACTTGTCCCAATGGACAACTTTCCTTCGAAAATGGGAGAAGTAGCTGATTCATCAACAAAAAAAACAGTCATTAATCCTTATTGATCTCCACTGGAAAGAGGCTTCATTAAGCTTAGACCTGTTCATGGGCCGGGCCGGGCCCGGTTTTTTCTCTTCATTAACAAGATTTTTTCAGGCCCAAGCCCGAGCCCGGCCCGACCAACGGGCCTACAACTCGGGCTCGAGCCCGGCCCTCATAAAAAGCCCGAAGCCCGACCTAACAGGGGCTGAAATGCAGGGTGACTGAGTTCACTGGTGGTGCGGTTGGCACCGGTGCCTAAGTTCGCCATCGTCGATGCTTGAGTTCACTGGTTCCTGAGAATATGCAACAATGCATGAGAATGAGAACTGCGAGAGAGACAAGAGAGAGAGGAATGGTGGAGAGAGAGAGAAGATTCACCGCCGGAGAAAGGGGCGACTGAGTTCACTAGTGGCGTGGCTGGCGCTAGTGCCTGAGTTCGCCGGTTCCTGAATCCTGAGAAATATGCGAGTGCGTGCGAGTGAGAACTATGAGAGAGACGAGAGAGAGAGAGAGAAGACTCACCGCCAGAGAGAGATATGATCGATGCCTGAGTCTATCGGTGCCTGAGCTTGCCTGTCACCTCTGAGACTGAGAACAGTGGCTGCTTGCTTGGATTCGCACCGGTTATTGAGACTGAGAATGAGGAGAGAAAGATAAAAGATGAAAAGAGGGAATAGGAAAGGTTAGTCGGCTAGGGTTTACAATAAAATATAAAATGTTGGGTTAGGCCGGGCTCGGGCTCGGGCTCGGGCTTTTAGGCCCGAAGCCCATGGGCTAAAGTTCATGCGCAAGCCTGTCTGGGGGTTGGGCCGGGCCGGACCGGCCCATGAACAGGTCTAATTAAGCTCAATTTTGATGATAGTAGTATGGGGAATCCAAGAATATCAAGAATAGGTGGGGTGTTTAGGGATGGTCAGCCAAATATTTACTTTTTATTCAGGCCCAGTTGATGTGGATGATCCTATAAGGGCGAAAGTTATGGCAATGCCAAAGGGAGTGCAAAGGGCAAGGAGTTTGAATATAAGAAAATTAATCATTAAAGGAGACTCTAAGTTGGTGATAGGTTGGCTACGAAGTGAGGACTGAGGAGGCCAAGATGTGGAATTACAGAAATGAGATAAAGAAATGCAGATGGTTAACAGAAGATATACAATAGATCAAAAGGAGTCTAATACTTTGGTGGATACATTAGCCAAACAAGTGGTGGGGAGAGATCAACTGTTTTGGGCACAATTGTAAGAAAAAGTAAGGTTTGCTGGCAGAGAGATAAGACTATTTATCTCTCAATGACTGCATTATTCTATTGTAATTGTAATCTCTCTTTTCTCCATTAATAAAATTGATGGTTATTGATCTAAAAAAATCTTTATTATTTATTACTAAAAATATTCTTCAAGTGTATTATATCATTGCTACAAAGTGAAAATGGACAGAAACAAGAAATGTCATTGCTTCCTGAATATAATTTCTTCACCTGATGGTCCTGATCCCAAATTTCTCTAAATGTATCCAAAAATATCAAGTGCTACTGGTTTTGCATTTCACCAAGCTCATAGCCACTTTTTAAACCGGACATCCTCTTGCACCCACTTAGAATAAATAAAGCTAACAGATTTTGGTTCCCTAACAGTCAAGTATTTAACTTTTCCTTTATATATCAAAAAAAAGTATTTAAATCTTTCCTGTAGTTGTTAGAAATACTTCAACAGATTTTACCCATTCTGCATAATTGTGTCCATTCAACTTAACTGAAATCATCTGAATGGGTAAGAAATTTATTCTGCTTTTATGATAATTAGGAGATAACATAACATCCAACTAAGAATACATATCTATGTACTCCTTTTGCTTAATCAAACACAATAATCAATTCCAAAATTTGATATTCTACTCACACAACTATTGGCTACTCACAAACAACATCAAATCTACCAATTTAGCATATAAACAGCACTTACTAACCTTTCCATGAAAAATCATATATCCCGAAAAACTCAACACTGCATTCTTCAATCATAGATCGTAAAGTCAACCCAATACAATAAGTAATCACCACTTTTCTCACTTCACAATCTGCATAGGATTCTTCTTTTAACTCACAACCAGCACGGTATACACCACACTCAATCACCTCAGTCCCTCTTTGTCTGAACAAGTTTAGAAATTTTTTCAGTTCAGTATCACCTCCCTTGGGAGAAGAAAAACAAACATCAAGAGAAAAAGTGAGAAGAAACCAAATATGATCACTCTTCAATATTTCTCCAGAGAAGAGAAAGAAAGATTTGAGATAAGAGAGGAGAAAATAGAATGCTCTAATCAGACTGATAGTCTTGCTCTAATACCATGAACGAGGTCTGATTAGTGCAACCTAAACAAGAAAGTTAGAACAGAGAAGAGAAGAGAAGACAGTCATGTAGGTAGGAGAGAAGGAGGACTGCTGATTGGAGAGAAAAATCCACTCTCCCAATTGAACAGACTTATACATATTCTATTTTTAAAATATAATGAGATTACAACTATACCCCTATTTAAGTAATAATACAGCATCGACTAAACTCCCCACTTAAATAATAAAATCAAACAGAGCATTGTACCTCCTACAGAAAACAGTCCCAGATGTGAATAGGAAACAGAAATAATAATCCCCAATTCCCAACAAGTATCATTTTTATTGCATATTTTCAATCTATATTAGCTTCTTGATTGGATAGCATCACTGCCACATGGACTCTTCTACATGGATGCCGTGTCTGTTGTCAGACACGGGTCAGAGTCCAATACTCCACAGATTCTTGAGGACACTTCCACATAGCATTTTCTTTCTACCTCCAAGCTTAGATTTTTAATATAAAAAACTTCCCACCTTATCTGACATAAATGAATGGCTAATGTACAAGATGAACTATTTTGGACCCCCTCTTTATATATATATATATATATGTGTGTGTGTGTGTGTGTGTGTGTGTATGTATATGTATATATATATATATGTATGTATGTATGTATATATGGGAAAATCCATGATGTGGGAAAGACATGGTACCAAAAGAGTTTTGACCAATCAAAACCCACCCATGAATTTTGATAAAGAACACCTGATTGGCTACCACGTTTATGATTCCAATTGATTGATCAGACGTTTTTCCGATATCATATCTTTTCATATCATAGTCGAACCCTATATATAAATATATATATACTATTTTAATAGTATTTTTTTTCCATTGACATGTCCACAGGTCCATGTTTTCTATTATTGCCAAGTCAGACTCTTGGATATGTGTTGGATTCCAACTCCCATGTACATGTCCATGCAATATTGATAGTGTTAAATATCTTAAATTTAGAACCTACCTTTTTTTTCTGGTAGCCAGTGCCTAGCCATCAACAAGTCCTTGTGTCAAGTCTATCAACTAGAGAGGCCAAAACGACTAGTCATCGTTTAACTGCATTGATAACACTTGAATAGAAATAAAATACACCATATAATATGGTGCCTGATTTAACCTTCTGCTTGCCTAAGTAGGCACCAAAATTGTATACCTAAAAAGCATGATAAGAAGCACACCCTGGATAACATCTTGTCACCTAGGCATTGTTTCAGTGCCCACCTAGGCATCACCTTAACAACTATGTTTGTAAGCAAGGAAAAAAGTTTTTAAATAGAAATGACTTCTTGTGTGGAAAGATGGGAAAGATTAGAATTCCAAGATAAAAGTAAAATTCCGTAGTTTGTTTATCCAAGTGTGAGGTTTCTTCTCTTAGAAGTCATGCCTCTTCTAAATTCTACATTTGTGACAAGGAGCTTCTCATTTAGTTAGGTCCTTAACGAGAGCATTAATGAGCAGAGATTCCTATCATCAGGTAAAAAGGGAAAAATTACCCAATGTTGATCCTGAATTCTGGGTCTTGGGAAGGGTAAACTGGATATGGACATAACTTCTGGCATTCTTTGCATAAAGTGACTGCCATCAAACTCAAACCCACATTCTCATGCAGGCCAGTCCCAACATTCCTCTCATTGGGTGACCCAATTGATGGGTTGAAGGTGTTCCCATCCTTTAAAATGAATGAGTTTCCATGTATCATATCTTTGTTTTCTCTGCCTTTTGTGTATCTTCTTTGCAATTTTGAAATGCATCATCTTATTTCATTCCCACTGCCATCCCCAGTATACAGGTTATATGTATTGGTTTTAGAAGAAAAGGAGAAAGAAATTTAGATTAAGCTCATGGAAGACCTTGCTGGATGAGGTGCTCTCGACATTTAGAAGCACCTGGTACCAACTCTGAGAATCAATAAATGGATAATAGAAAAACAAATTATCAATCTTATCATCATTACCTTGCATAAAGAATACCAATGAATAGGGTTGCAACTAGGGAAGGTTCAGGTTGATCATTTGTTAAATTCTGGATGGACTGGGCCAAAGGGTCCAAGCCCGACACTGTAAATTCTTCAAGTCACCAATAAGGACTTGGTGCTTGTCAAGGTTGTAAAAGGACAAGTTGAAGGCCAAAATCAACCTGGATTCAGATAGTGGAGAAAGATTTTGTTTGCTAATTCTTTAATTAGAGGATATATCCTTAAAAGAACAGAAGGAAACTGACAGTTTTACAATTTATAATACCAAAATATTGTCAAACGCATCACAGAAGAACAAAGTTCAAAATAATTCAGATGTTTATAATTTTTCATGGACATTATACATAAAACACTTTATCCAGAGTTGAAATGCTAGATTTCAACTGTACTACCCTAAACCTAAGATGCATTTCAATCAATTCTACTTTCATTTAAACAAAATAAGACATTGGCAGTAAATCACAAAAACCCTACCTTCCTGCCAGCAAATCTCTCCTTCAGTTCTTTAATATGCTCCTGAACTTGAGGAAGCTCAAGCGCTCGAATGAACCGATCCGAATCTATCCCAATAGGAAACTGAAGTCTCAAATGGAAAGTAGAACAAATAAGCATCACAAGATTGGTTAATGGTTGACATCAAAAAATTAATAAATCAATGCAACCTAAAAGTAACAGTAACAAATAATTCTTCAGTAAAAGATATATAGATATGCCGAAAACAAATTTTCAACTGAATCAATTATATGTACCGCTGCTACACGAGTCAGCTTTCCTTGATCCTCTACTCCTTCAGGTGTACCCTCAAGTCCAAGAATACGAGTACAAGCACTAACAAAGTGCCTTGCATAATCATATGTATGAAAACTGGAAAATAGAATGTCCAGTGAGCAAAATCACTTATGTCAGGTGAGTTAGAATGCAACTATCCAACTAAAAAGAAACAATAAATTTGCTATAAAGATATACTGAACTTTTTAATTTCCATAATAACATCAAATGGCTGAATCTTAGGAGTAAAACCCAATTACTCAAACTGGACAATCAAATATAATTCCAACTGGTTCACAACAAAATATTAGTAATAGGGTGATTTAATTTTTTTTTAAAGGTAATGTAATTTTATTAATAGGAGACAAAGATTACAAATCACCCTAATCAGGATCAATAGATCCTAAATCAGGGCCTAAGAACAGCATCACAACTCAAAAAAACTACAAGAACCCAGATGCAGCCCAATCGCCCTGCTTTGGAGACCTTTTACAGCAGCTGTCCAAGAAACTAGCCTCCCATAGGATGTGGAGATTAAACTGTTGACTTCTTTGGAACAGTTTTGAAAAAGTCTCTTATTTCTTTCCTCCCAAGTGGTATTAATAATAGCAGCCAGGACTGTCTTCCAAACCTCTTTAGCCAATCTTGACAAGCCTTGAATCTCCCAGCACCATAAGTCCTTTACTAATGATGGCATAGTCCAGCTCAAACCCACCGAAGAGAGATAATGATTCCACAAATCCAGAGCAACTGGGCAGTGGAGTAAATGATTATTGTCCTCTTCCTTCCTCCCACACATCACACAGAGCAGATTAGGAACCTGGACACCTCTCCTTGCCAGGTTCTTCTTGGAGAGACTTTTGTCCAACACAATAGCCCACAACAGTGCATTCACCTTAGTAGGGGGAATTGGATTCCAAATCTTCTCAGTAGGAATCTCAGCTCTGTCACTATCAGATTAACTTCTAGCAAAGGAACTGACTGAGAACTGACCATCCTTAGACTCTCTCCAAATCCACGGTCTTCTTCTTCTTGGTTTAAGGACTGAGAGGCTAATAACTGAAATAAATCTATCACTTGGTCAAGTTCCCAATCATGGAAATTTCTTCTGAAGTAGGGGTTCCAGGAAACATAGTTTTCAAGGCGCCAAGGTGAGGCTAGGCGACAGGAGGGGGCGCCTTGTCGCCTAGGCGCCCGCCTAGGCGATGGATTTTTTAAGGTGAAAAATGCATATCCTAGGCAGTTCCCTAGGTTCCATAACCCATCTTTCCTTAAAAACTATCCATAATTTTCATAAGAAAATTATAAACATCATGTTTATGTCTAGAAAATCAACATATTTATGAGAAGAAAAAGAAGAAAGAAAAGAAAATTCAAAAAATATGGGGACTGAACCCCTATTTTTGTTATAGGAAAAGAAGAAAA